ATTCATTCTTAAGATTCTGCTAACTAACCTCTTCCTTCAAGATTTTTTGGATCAACACCAATCTCACCTTTTCTCAGTCCTTATACCATTTATAGTTTATATTATACTATGTATTATTTCTAATTATTTATGTTTCAAGCTTGTCTGCTGAGTAGATTGTAACCGTCCTGAAAACTTAAACCATTTACCATCAACTCTTGGGGTTGAAGAACCCCTATGCAGTGCATTCTTGCTGTTCCCTAATGGAAGCCATCCAGTCTGCCAGAGCAAATGCAATTATATACCCTTCAACAGAGCAGATGCTCTATAAATATTTATCTAATTAATAATCTATTAAAATTTTCTAAGACTGTATTAGGCCAACAAAAATTCAACAAATACTTGTTGATTGTTTGACAGAAACAATTAACTGATTGACGTTTACAGATGATGACACTATGGAGTATGGCCTAGGTAGATTACTCTTTCTTGTTTTCCATGAATTCCATGAATGTTGACTCTGCCATGAGAGTTTTAGATGCACTAAGGTAATATAGCTCATATTAATTACAAAAACTAAAATAAGTTCCATTGTTATATAGCATTTATCATGTTTTAATGACTACTGATTACAGTTTGGTTAATCCTCATTCATGGACAAATTTACCTTGAATTGCTGGACAATTAACCGTACCATTGTTCAAAAGGTAGTGATTATTTCTCGCTAAAAATTGAAAGTCATGGAACCAAACCAGCTGTGTCCATCCAAAATTCCTAATGGATTCTGAAAACCCATGTCATCCTTTTTCATTTATCAGGCCCACTCAACATTATTGTTATTATCCTCTTGGATTCAAAGGCAACAGTTCCATTACCAGACACAAAGAGGCTTATTTAATAAAGATGAATTTGAGCAAGAAGAACTATATTTTTAAAGAAATAATTTGTAATCTCTTATAAATAATTGATATTTTTGCTAAATTTTCAAAAACAAATCCAAACATTCAACCTATATATACACATATATATTTGAATATTTATTATTACTAAATCAATTACATTGCTTTGTTTGAACAGGTCATATGATACATGAGGAAAAACTCTAATGTGTTTTTAAAATTTTCCTTTTATCTTGACATCGCTAAATGATGGGGAGTATTCACCATCAAGTTCTTTAACGACAACATCCTTTTCTCTTACAAATGGCTTTGAAGTCTTCAACCACCTATTACAAGTATTTGGATATTTCCCCAGCATGGTTAGGCAGGAAGCCAACACAAGCCACCAGGTGCCAATATTACACCTGACAAATTAGCCACACGACTGGAAAAGGGTGGGTCCATCCTCCTGTTAGAGGTTCATTTCCTCTCATTTTCCCATGAACAGGAAGTCATTGGAATGGGGAAAAAATTTTTCCTTAAAGACCCAGATGACCAAAGGTCTGAACTTGTTAACTCCTTGCTAACAAATGACTTGGAAGCAAGTTCAGACTAATCACAAGACTTTATTTATGTTGACTTGTTTAACCCTGCCGATGGTCCGGATTCCAGGATGTTGAGATGTATTTTAACATGGAGGGCATTCATGGAGCAGGTGGGGAGTGCCATTAATGTCACGTGCAGTAATTAAGAGGAGGCAGATCTAGTAGCCCTTGCACAAACCTTGGGAACATAAAGACAGAAGAGTTGCTGATAAGATATGACTCAAGCCACGGTTTAGGGTCAGAACCCTTTTCACTCCACCCAATTCAACAAGATTGATTTGAAGAATTTGATCAGAATTGGCTGAGATTCCATAAAATATTTCACTATAGTTACATAATACTTCATTCATTTAAATCCTCTAAGGACTTACAGTGACCTCCCAAAGATCAGTTATAAAGCGTGATGAGTGTTAAATAAACAGAGTAAAGGGAATGTTTTCTAGCAGAAAAGTTATCCAAAGAATATAGGTATATACTTATATGTATCTTAACTCCATCCCAAGAGATAACTACTATAATATTTTATATTTGTAATGCACGAATAATTGTTAAAACATATTTTGTATGCACATACTTTTGGAAAAAGTACTACAAAAATAATGTACTATAATGTCCAATTGTTCTACAACTTACATCGTTCACCTAACGACATAGTACTGATGTCTGTCTTTAACAATTTATACAATATATTCATTCTTTATAACTATGTCCAATAAACTTCCCTAATTTTTTTCCAATATGATAGGTAGAAAATCGCAATGCACGTTCTTTATTTCTTTTACCACTAATGATGTTGAATATATTTTTCATATGTTTGCTAGACATTTGCATTTCTTCTGAAAATTGCTTATTTTATATCTTTCACCCATTTTTTTAAGGTGAGTTAGTTATATTTTTCTCATTCACTTGTAAGCAGTCTTTCAATAATAGATAGTAACCCCTTTTCCTGTAATGTGTAATTCAAATATTTTGTCCCTATCTGTCACTCTTCCTTTAACTTTTTTTTGAGGGGGGCTGGGGTCAGGTTTGAACCTGCCACCTCTGGTATATGGAGCCAGCACCCAACTCCTTTGAGCCATAGGCACTGCCCCCTTTAAATTTTTTTATAATTATTTTTAATGAAGTTAAATATGTCAGATTTTCCTTAATGACCTCTGGATTTCTCACCTAGTTTACAAAGACCTTTTAATCCAAATTAATATTTTAAAATTCATTTATATTTCCTTTTAATACTGGTATAGATTTGATTTGTATGTTTAGAGCATTATACCATCTGGAATTTACTTTTGTGTATAGCACAAGTCCAGATGGAGAGCCAGTTGTCCCAGTACCATTTACTGTTTAGCCACTCATTTGAAATGCCTCCATAATATCTGTTAAATTCCTCTATATTCTTATGTCTGCTCTGGACTCTAATCTTTTTGGTTGTTTTCTCTATGACTATACGTATGTACTGAATTGCATAAGATATATAATTTCTTTTGGTAAACCATTAGGACAGGTCTCTACTCATTTTAAATTTTGCTTGGTTTTTCATGACTATTGTCTTGCATTTCCCTTCCAAGTGAACTTTAGAATAGGTTGCTCAGGTTCCATTCAACATCCCAGTTTGAATAGATAGTCTGCGTTTGCATTTTGGTTGAAATAGGTAGTATGCACTGCATCTCAATTTACAGAAAAATTGAGTAAAATGTTACATCTTGATTTCACCTGATTGAAAGCTCAATTAACATTTTCTAAAATCAAATCATATATTTCGCATTGCTTTTAAAATTTGAAATGTTATAATAAATGCAATATATTGTCATTATTATTATAATAGCGTATCAAGAGTCCCAGGGGATAAAAATTAAAATACTTCTTCTAGATTGGATGCCCAATCAACAAAAACAATAGTCTATTCTGTGCTAGGAAACTATAGCATGTGTTACAAGGAAACAGAGATGTATACAGATGGTCTTTGTTTTTGGAAGCTGATAACCTAGCAGAGAAGATAAGATACACACACATGTAAGGGATATTGGCATATGCATATCGATACAAGGAAGCTCATATTAAGAATCAAAAGAGCTACTGTAGACAATAAAAGTACCAAGAGTTCAAAGGCAAGAGGTTCAAGGTAGATGATTGGAGGCTTTCTCTTTTATTTTACAGAAGAAAGCAATAAGGCCCAGACAGGTGAAGTCATCCAGCTAAGTAGTAACAGAAAACATGATGTCTGCTGGTCACCATTCCAGTGGCCTCTCCAGTGCATCGAGTAGAATTCTCACTTGTAATTGTGAATACCCACAAATTACCTTCCCAAAAATCAGTAAAAAAACAAAAAAGTTGCATTCAAACAACTCTATTACAGGTATTTCTTTTAGTCATTATGACATCAAATAACACATATTAATGATGTTTCACTTTTCAACTAGTGGTTTTGACATTAGAACACATAGCCTATATCTAGGTAGTAAAATGGGATTTTTTTTGTTTTCTTGGGTTTTTTGTCCCTTCAGGCAATTCATTCACTTGTCATATTTTAAAGCCCTCCAGTAACAGACCCTAAGACCTACAGGAATCTTTACACCTGTGGAAAAGAGATTTCTAAAACCCAACATGAAATCCACTTTTGATTTTCCCTTGAGTTTGCTTCTGTCAGCGTTAGGCAGGTAATACATTTCAGCTTTTAAGCCATAAAGCAATCTTTTTTTAGGAAAAAAAATTGCACTCACAGCTCTAATCTTATATTTCCATGCATATTGAGTTAAATGTTGTAAAACTATCAATTCTGTCAAAACCTAGCAAAAAGAAAACAAGACACCATGCAATCTTAATGTCCAAACTGACTAGTGATTATCAGAAATTAAATGTGCAGGAATTCCAAATCTTTTTTGATTTGAGATGTCTAGATAACTTTTGTTTTTCCATAATTGTATGAGGTTTCTACATAGTATTTAAGAATCAATTATATTGCAATTGATGTAATTAACTCTAATAATCCATTAAAAGTCAGTAGGAGGGCTATTCAAGTCAATAGAAAAGACGGAGTATATTATGAAGGTGTTATTAACCTATACAGAATTTTACCAGACATTTTCTTTTCTTACATAATAAATACACAGTGGTTAGGAAGGCTGTCATTATAATTTAATGTGAACAATAGTCCATCACTTCTTTTCCTATGCAACCCTTAACTAATTCTATGTACCATGCACAAGTAAAATGAAACCTTTTCTAATCAGGGTACGGTCATATCAATCATCTATTACTCCATGATTAAAGAAGAGGTCCTTTCCCAGCTAAGTGGAAGAGAATTGGGTACAAGCAAAAGTTTCAGATCCACCTTCTCTTTCAGCTGACAACTCTCAGTTTCTGATGGCTGTCTGTACTTTGCAATTAATCGAGGAATAAACAACCACCCAGAAAGTTCTGTTCAGAATACTCTGGCAACCACTAAATTGCTATTCAAAGTGTGGCTACATGTTCCCTTCAGCATCAAGGGAGCTTTGGAGCATTCTGATCTTTGGAATTGAGTGAGATGCAAACTACTCACCTTCCCAGCACACCACACGTCCATGCTATGTCCTCAGGAGTCTGGTTTGGCTCCAGCTGTGAACCTCACAGACATCTAAACCAGCCCACAGCCATAGAGTCAGCCAGACCATTACTGAAACTCCAGGTCATAGAGCAAGTTCAAGGGTCTTGTCTCATTTCTTGTCCCTTCTCTATTATTCCTCAGTAAAAGGAGATGGGAAGAAAAGTCAGGAGAACACAGTTCAACTCACATTTTACCAAACAAACAGACCATCCTTCGCCGAAAGGACCCTCACCTCTCACAGCTCCCAGGTATGCTTTTCCAATTTGATAATGAACAAAAATGTTTTATTGTAATATTTGCATGAAAGGACTCTCATCCCACTATGGACTCCATTAGGAATACAGACTATGTTAGCTTCTGGTAGCTACACATATAGATCATCATAACGGTCCCAGCTATGGGGACAGCAAGCAATATCAGGAATAGCACCTTTCATACAAAGAACAGCTGTACCTGACAAAGGTATAGAGCCATGGGGCTTAGTGGGGAAGAAAATGCTGTACCTGGACTCAGATGACATGGGATGAGTATAGGCTCTGACACAACCAGCTGTGTGATCCAGAGAATAGCACTCCTCTGTTCCCCACTCTGTATAATGGGTGGGAAAAGAACTCACATCATCAGCCTCTTATTAAATAAGGATTAAATTAGACAAACACGTGGAATAAACTTTGCAAATTATAAAACATTACACTGTGCCAATATAGTACTATTCAAAGTTATAATAAGTTTTCAAAGCCAAGGGGGAAAAGACTAAAGCCGTAACTCTCAAACATTGGTACATGTAACATTCATCTCAGGTCTTACTTCAAAGAACAACTATCTGTTTCCCAAGTGATTCTGATTTGAACTATAAGCTGAGAGACACTAGGATAAGGGATTGGCTGAAAATGAATTCCCATTCATTCATCAGATATTTTAAGTGCTAGAAAGCCTTAGAGGATACAAATAATTACCAGATACTGGCTCAAATGTCCAGCAACTTCAGCTCTACATATAGAGAGAAGACAAATATCCAGAAACAGATAAATTATAAGGCTCTGTGTGTCAAAGCAGCAAAATCAGCCCGTAAGTAACATCTCTTCTAATTTCCCCTTGAACTAGAATCTGAAGAGACTCCATATTCTCTGGAGGAAATCTTGGTTCTCTCTTACTCCTGGGTGAAGGACACATTGTCAGTGCCTCTTATGCATGGACCCTACTCCTGGGCTCCAAGAGTCACTGAGTCACAGGCTTCTCTGCCAGCAATCAGGGAGAGAGTCAGAATCCCATCCCCTCTTTTGGAAACCAGGCCTCACTGTGAAAGGACATCTCTTACTCAAAAGGTTCACCTCCAGTATAGAATAAAGAACAGTTTTCATTCTGGAGAAAGGAATGTTCCTGTTTTATGCAGTAAAGGCTGAACAAACCAACCACAGGCACGGGCAGTCACGGTGACTAGAATATGAGACTTGCCCTCTGAAGCTTCCACTTTGAATCTCCTCCCTAAGGCCAATCCCCGAGAGAGCATTTGGGCACAGAAAAGCAGTGGCTTCAAAGTCACAGTACTTTCTATGTGCCTGGGAGGAGGTAGAGAATGTCCCCTTCCTTTTTTCTGAAACTCCCACTGTCCCTTTGTATAGGTCCCAAGAGCACAGAGAAAAGAGACCTAGTCCAAGAGTCAAGAGGCCTGGGTTGTCATTCTGCTCCTGCCAGTAACAAGCTAGGAGACCAGCTCTCTTTCTTTGGCCACATCTGTGTCCAGAGAAGAACATTCGGGAGACCGCCATCTACCCCAGCTACTTTATAGTGTTCACAGGAAGGCTAGATGAAAAACTCCTTTGTAAAAGTACATGTCCCTGAAATATAAGAAATGAATATCAAACACCAAAGTACAATTTTTAACCTCTGAATTATAAACATTGCTTTGATTATAAATATCGTCCCCCCTCAATTTACTAGATAACGTTCCATCTGCTTAGCTTTGAAAATGGAGGCTGGTCCTCTGGTATGTGACTGCTGCTGATTCCTCTGCAGATGAAGATTTGCAAGACTGGGTGGCTGGGCCTGTGAATTCTCTCTGCCTTTCATGGTCTCTCCCCAAGCCTGCACACACTTGCAACACCCCCAGCCTCACCCTGTCCACACAGAGCTGGAGGTACCCAAGATCATCTGACCCCAATCACATTCATGTGACACCTTTGTTCAGCGCTAAATTCACTTGAGAGGGGAAAATAGTGCCTCAATCAGGAAATACATCTTTTACAGCTATTTCATCCTCCCCTCACGTGGCCCTGGAATATCACTGTAAAGAACATTCTTGTGGCATTTCCAATTCTTTTCCTTCAGCACTGCAAATAGGACTAGCCCAACCAAGGGGAAACTACTCCCCAGCAGAGCAGTTCTTCAAAGGGGACTTCTTTGGGCAGGAAAAGGGAACGTCTGATACTGGGGCTGAATAAACAGACTCGCCGAGCCTAGTGCCAAATTGGAAAACCAGGCCCTCTGACCGTGCGGCCCGCCAGCCCCACACCTTGTGTGCACTGCGTCTCTCTCCCCCCAGCCCTCTGTCTTCCTCATCTTTTGCTTCTATTCTGTCCCCCCAATGCCTTCACCTTCCTAGGTATATAACCACTTGTACTGGTGATTTGTGTATATTGGTATGTTTGTATTATAATTAACGGAATAATCTTATAGGCTGTACGGGTTTCAAAGCCCACTTCTGAATCACAAATCGGTTCCATCACCTCCACTCATGAGGCTCACTTTGTCTCTCAACATTCACACGTCCCCACAGCCACGAACCTTCCTCAAAAGGTAGGTCCCTTTAATAGCAGAACAGACGATTCACACATACAATGTTGCAAGCCCTAGATGGGTGGCTGATAGAATCCTAGAGGACAATGGAACTCCAAAGGTCATCTTTTTTTCCAGGCCAGGAAAAACTACAAATTTACACACTCAGAAAGGTAATTGTCTCCTCTGAACTCTTTGAAAGAATCCAGCCCCGTTTATACCTTGGCTCAATGGCCCACAGTCTCCAGTAGAGGTACTTCCGAGCAACTAACCTAAACTTTCCTGCCATTAGTTTTTCTACTTAACTAGCTGCTCATACATGAAATCACAAACATAGGTCACAGCAGGGCTTAGGCTTAGAAACTGGAATTTGTCTTTTGCATACTCGAAAATTTGGGGTTTTCTTTTAAGCTTTACATAATTATACCAGTAAATGTTACAGTTATTCAATATGTACAGATCCTTCTATACTCACGTGGGCAAAAACAATTCTCTGTAAATCTCCCACCTCTCATCTTCAGTCTCAGTGGGATTCCTTTTTTCCAAACATCCAAAATTCAGGCAGAGTCGCACTCTCACCACTTTGTTCTTAATAGGTAAACCTTTTCTAAGATGGTTCTTGGAGGAATAACCTTGGATGATACATGCCCTTGGAGAAGGCTTATAAAATTGTCTAGCAACTGATTTAAAAATGAGGGATCAGCTCCGTGATTTACTCAGCTTTTATCCACAATTGGCTCTGGGCTCATTCGTGATCTTACTTCGTGACTATCTCATCTCAAATTCCTCTTTACCCAGATTTACAAGCCTTAAGTTCCCACAGAAACGGCAAACAACAAAGAGCCAAAATAAAGAAAACAAATAAGTAAACATCTGGTCAGTAAAGATCTCTCAGAGAAAAAGCATTTCATCATTTTTTCCCCAGTAAGTGCTTCCCCTCAGCTCTTCAGTCTTCTCCCATGTCCCATCAATATTGGTGAGTAGAAAGTTGTCTTTTAAAGGACCGTTTGAAGCCCACACCGCGTTTCACACTTTCAGACTATCTGTCCATTCCAAGGTTGGTGAGTAATTACTATCAGGCAATCATAAGGGCAACTCAGTCATCCTTCTCGTCATTAACCACCACAACCAACAAACATCAAGATCACCTACGAATAGTAAATCTCTTTTAGTATTTTCTTAGAACTATGTATGTCTATTTGGGAGGGAAAGTAAAACATTCTAATTCAGCCTCCCAGGGGCCGTCTGACAAGCAATATTTAGTGATATCGCATCAACAAGTCGATTTTTCATTATTTAACTGACGGTGACACCGTCACCACCCTCAATTAATTGCCTGTAAAACCAAGAAGAATAAAGGTTAGTCACTATTTTTAACCAGCAGGATTTCTAAAACGTACCTCCTGTCCATCTGACGTGTATAGATTAGGTTCTCCGTTGTGCAACCTCGGCACAAACATCACCTTAGACATGACAGCGGGACAAGGTGGGAGACATTCGCTGCAGTTACCTTTGCCCGGGCTTTATTTGTTCTGCAGATAAAAAACTTTGGATTTCTTTACCCAACCAGTCATCTTGCACAAACGGAAAACTCCCTCAAAACTTTCTGTTCCCGTGGGACCCTTGAGAAAACAAAATGAAAAAAAAAAAAAAGACCATGATTAATATCTGTTTTCTTGGGTCAACATCCTAATATTGAGCAATTTCTTGACATCTTAAAAGGGACTGTCCTGGCGTCAGATTGAGAGTTAGTGAACTCCGCATTGATCAAATAACTGGAACCAGGAATGACCAGAGTCAGAATTCTGAGGTCGCAAACATTTGTTCTGTGACCATTTCCTGTTCTTCCCCGTAACATCATAAGGACCTTATCTACATTCACCCTTTGTAAGTAGTGGTTTCTAAATTTTTAGATAACATACCCTTATTGATTAATACAAAATTTTGAGCACATTTAATCTGTGTATTTTTATTTACATAACTCTATCATGTGATCAAAAAACATATGCACCAAAAACTCTTAATTTAAGATGAAATAAAAAATTAAAATAAATGGGATTAATATCTTCTTTCTGCACACCAATGGATCATGTTGGACTCTCCATGGAGTTCCCTGTTTCTGAAACCACTACTTTAAGAAGGCAACAATCTGTCATTCCACCAAACTCAATCACCACTGTGCTCTAATCAAAACCTGTTTCAAGAATAGACCTGCTATCAGTCATTACCATCTTCTGTGAATAAGGACCTGTCATTATACTAATACTTCCAGTAGTGTTTCGCATTTTAAGTATATGTCTAATTACGAGAAGACAGCTTTATTTTGTGTTAATGTAATATCAGAGATGTCACAATAATTCCTGGTATTAGGAGGATTGACAATTTCTCTTAGTGACTGTGATCTCAGACAAGGTGGAAGCTCCTTATTGATTACATAGGCAGTGGCTGCACCAAACTTTGTAAATAGGTTTACAAAGCTATTCACAATTTCCTTGGTAAATAGCAAATTTGTCAGAAGAGGAAAGAGTAGGGGGTGACACACTGTTTAGGAAATTTTCCCAAAGCCATGCTAAGGTTCTACTTAAATTGTATGTTCATGTAAGGGCTCAGAAGTGGGGTCAGGGAGATACTAATAGACAATATAGAGGATGAACTGCAGTCCTCCAAACCATCCTGTGGCTTCTTCACCACCAATACAAACTGGAAAAACTTCCACAAGGTCAATATGGAAATTCAAAAGCCTGTAACGTCAAGTTAAGGAGTTAGAAAAAGACTTCTATAATTCAAGAAACAAAAATCATTTTTGCCCAAATACTTGCATAGCTTAAGTACTTAATATTATTCATAAGCTTATGAAAGGAATTTTCCCAGGGGAAAAGATGAGCAATATTCTAGATCAGTGGTTCTCAACCTTCCTGATGCTGTGGCCCTTAATACAGTTCCCGTGGGTCACGCCCCACAGGTTGAGAACTGCTGGTCTAGATTATTTTCATCTTTGTGAATATGAAGTTCAGGTTTTTCTTTTAAAAAGTCTGAATTATGCAGTATACATATGTATTGATCCACTTCACAATGTAACTGCAAGATAATTTTCTTAACGTTAACCTAATATAACAAAAAGAAAATGGGGACTGGAGAGAGCTGATCAGTTGTTAAAACGTGTCTCCTGTGTAAGTACATGCACACACACATGTGTACTACATGTATGTTGTGTGTGTGTGTGTGTGTGTGTGTGGAAAGAGAAGCCCCTGCAATTCAGTTTGTCCTACAATCATTTAGATGGACAAGTCAGTCCCCATGAAAAATTATAAAATAATTTATCATCAAGCACAAAAATAACATAACATAAAACATATCAAATAAGTCCGTGCTAGCAGAATGAAGAGTGGGATATAATTAAAATCAGATTATTAAGAATTTCCAGAGACAGTAAAGACCAGGCATTTCAGATAAACAAATTGGCATATGAAATGGAAAGAAGTTTAATTCAGCAAATCATACCCAGGAGATGCAAGAATCACTAACCTTAAGAAAAGAATCTATATTGATGATGAGTGAATCATGAGATTCAAGTTGATAATGAATTGATAGAGGACAATTCATATGTCAAGTCAAAATTTAGTTTTGCTTAAAACCAAGTAAATAAAACAACACATGTATTGTTGTTGTTGTTTCAATTAAAATATTCCCTGTCATGTCTTTTCATGCTATGTGAGACAACACGGGGATTTAGGTCCAACATAAGAAGGCAAACATGATACCAGTTTATGGGAGAGCACTTGACATACGTGCCCAGAAATTCTGCCTGCTCTTGGATCGTTTCAAGCTTTGACCTTTGTTTCTGAAATGTCAAAGTATCTCTTGTGTCACCATGAACCCCCTCCCCCAGACCCCGGAGCTGTATCACTGAATGGACATAAACTATGCCAAAAACAATAAGGCCTGAGAATTGCTGAACACCACCAATTCTTCTGTCAACATTCCTGTCCTGAAATCTCCTTTTACTTAACAAACTAGATCACCTTCCTTTAATGGCACGAGGGAGAAGAAAACGAAAGCAACTGATCAATTGCTCCTCTCCCAAAGATAATTCTCAGGAGGGAAACTACGATATGCCTAGTTTACCCTGTGTTGTCTGCGGTCACCTTTGTAATTGCCCCAAGTCAGTCCACCTGTGCACCATCAAAACTGCCAACAAGAAGGGAAGCTCATCGGGGCAAAATCTGACTTTTCAACTTCTTTTGTATTCCCTATTATAAGTCAAAGGCACTAGTCTCAGCCTCCATGCACAGAAGGAATCAACATGCTTGTTAAGCAACAGATGAATACCCCAGCTTTGCTTAGACTATGTTTTGAAGATGCATTTATTTATTTATTTGTTTATTTAATTTATTTTTTTAGAGACAGAGTCTCACTCTGTCACCCTCAGTAGAATGCTGTGGCGTTACAGCTGACAGCAACCTCCAACTCTTGGGCTTAGGCAATTCTCTTGCCTCAGCCTTTCGGGCAGCTGGGACTACAGGTGCCCACCATAGCGCCCAGCTATTTTTTTGTTGCAGTTTGGCTGTGGCCGGGTTCAAACCTATCATTCTCCATATATGGGGCCAGCACCCTACTCACTGAGCCACAGGTGCCACCCTTAAAGATGCATTTCACAAAAAGGCAGAGATGAGTCAGCTTGTCAAGGTGATCATCAAGCTAAGGATCAGAAACCCACAAATTTCATTCATTCTGATTGCTGAGAAAGTCAACATGACCACATATGATCAGAATAAATGTTTTGCTCATTTCATAACCGAACAGATATTATACTGAGATGTAGGGCCTAGCAGTTGATTGAGAAAACTGTCAAGTCAAGCTAATTAAGATAGATTTTATTTCTACAAGGCCATGGACTATGGCTATTAGGCCAACATGTTACCCCAGGACCTAGCATAGTACCTGCCGCATAGCAGGTGCTTATTATGGTTTCTCATTCAGATGACCACATCAGTTCTTCCTGCCCTTAAAAGCACAAACCATTCCCTTCTTGTGAGCTAGACTCTATTTCTCCAAGTTCTGGAATCTGGTTTTGCCAGTGACTGCTTTGACAAATAGAAGATGGAAGAAGAGATCTGCATGACTTCCAAGGCCAGGTTTAAGAGTCTCTGCAACTTCTACCTGGATTTCTTAGAACACTTGATTTGAGGGAGCCACTCACAATGTAAGAAATCTGACTACCAAGAGACCAACAAGCCCCATAAACATTTAAGCTAATCAAGCAGAGAGAGGAGAGAGAGAGATTTCTAACTAGCCTAATGCCAGATATACAAATGAAGAAGCGTTAGATGGCTTCGGCCTCAGCTACAATCTGATTGCAACCATATGAGGGACACCAAGCAAGAACTGCCCAGCTGAGCCCACCAACCCCAAGAACTATGAGGGGTAGTAATAAATGGTTTCATCAAGTCACTAGATTAAGAGTAGTTTATTACAGGGCAATAGATAACTGGGGCAGTATTCAGTGTTTATTGAATAAGTAAATGGATTGATAAAAGAAGCCACTTAGAATAAAGGGTTCCCAAATGAACCCAGTGAAATCCATTAAGTAAATTATTTAGGTGATGTCAACAACAGTAAAGACTATCAGAAAATTGGACAACTCTGTGGATAATTAAGGCCAAGAGGAAACCTGCTACAGAATAGAGAAAGTAATTTTTTGAGAGTGGAATTTTCCAAATTCACTAACCATCTTGACCGTATTCATTAGATGATTGCTCACTGCCCTACTTCCCTTTCCATAAAGTAAACTCATGATTGTGTTTCAGCCATGATTCTAGATACCACATAGCATTAACCAGGGAGAAATATGGGTAACCAAGGAAAATAGACTTTGTGTAGCCTGGTTTTTCTATGAAGACTCTGACTCTCCTCTCTAAGATTCTTTTAATTTTGTAAAATATACTTTGACCCAGGTAACACTGTATAAAACAACTAAATATAGCCAAAGTTCAGGGTGGGTGGGAATGGAAAAGAGAGGCCAAATGCTGGGCAGTAGCATCTATTACGTCATCACATCCTCCATAATTATGCTGTTATGTACACAGTATTCTTCAGCTGGATCACCACTTTATAATGATAAGAAGATTAATTAATGACACGATCCATATCCTTCATTTCTTTGATGGTTGCAAATAAGTCTGAGTCACTGCACCATCATTCTTCCCACAGGCACAATAGTTTTACTCTCTTTTGGTGAAGAAAATAAATATCAAGAAGATGTATTTAATCTTTGGAATGTTAACTTTGCACTTTTTCAGATGAATTCACACCAAGGTTTAGCCCTCCCTTTCCTAGCTATTTACTTATTGTGGTAGAACGGATCCTTCCCAGTGCACAAACCCCTCCACCTCCT